AAGTTTACATGGGTCATTGATGCTTCTGAGAGTAAACAATCTGGTGATGACACTGAACAAACAGCTGACTTGCCAACAAAACCTGAGCTTACATGGGTCATTGATACTTATGAGAGTAAACAATCTGGTGATGACACTGACACTGAACAAACAGCTGACTTGCCAACAAAACCTGAGCTTACATGTGTCATTGATGCTTCTGAGAGTAAACAATCTGGTGATGACACTGACACTGATCTAACAGCTGACTTGCCTACAAAACCTGAGCTTACATGGGTCATTGATATTTCTGAGACTAAACAAACTGGTGATGACGCTGACACTGATCTAACAGCTGACTTGCCAACAAAATCTGAGCTTACATGGGTCATTGATGCTTCTGAGAGTAAACAATCTGGTGATGACACTGACACTGAACAAACAGCTGACTTGTCAACAAAACCTAAGCTTAACTGGGTCATTGATGAATCTGAGAACAAACAAGCTGAAGACTTGCCAACAAAACTGAAGTCTACGTTTGTGACTGATGAGTCTGAGAGTGAACAAACTATTCACTTAGAGGTGAAACAAAAGTTGCCATTGAGTGTTGATTATTTTAAAGCTGATCAAGAACAATCTGAATGTGCAGAATTGATATGGATAGCTAATGACATACAAGAAAAAGAAAGTGTAACCGGTAAAAGGACTGAAGTTCTTTTCACATCAGGAAGTGCATGCTCAGCACTGCATGGTCTCGAAATGTATTTGAATATATGGTGTTCTTATCATAGAATCTATAATATTTAATTTATATTTATAATATTTACTAAATGTATCTGTCTTTTTAGCATATCAACTCGGGGATAAACCAACTACTGCCATTCTCATGAATTCAAGTTATGACTTTTCTCAATTATTGTTGCTAAAAACAGTGTTTATGATTTCTGATGTACATGCATGCTGTTTCCCCAACAGAAGCACCCAAATTTGCCACTCCATTGCAAGACAAAGAAATTCCTGAGAAAGAAAGCATCGAGTTGACATGCGAAGTGACCAAACCTAACGTGAAGGTGAATTGGTACAAGGATGATGAGCAGATCTCGCCATATGATCACCATTACAAGATAAAGACTGATGGAAGGAGACATAGTTTAGTCATCGATGATGTCAAGTTGAAAGATGAAGCTAAATATACAGCTAAGCTTGGTGATATTGAGACTGCTGCTGAACTGGTTGTAGAAGGTATATATTGTGATATGTTTGTTTTATGCATATTGGTGTTAGCATTCTTTACATACTTACTGGAATTATATATCAGGAATAATGTGAAGTGACAGCATTTATTGTCACTTCCATGTTACTTGCTTGTATGCTTTAAATATCTGTTATCACTGAACTGACCATCTATATTTCAATTGTTCTGTGATTTTCAGTCAAAGGAGTATGATTGAGGTTTTGATTGCCTGTATTGTGTTTTTGTCATACAAGATATATATAGCCTTGAAACCACATCAGTTGATGTTCTGTTGAGTCAGTGTAATCCATTGCGTACTTACCATCAACTCACACACACCTACAGACCAGACAAACATAAAACATATTCACACTCTATAATGACTAATTTTGTTCCAGAAATTGTGGAAGATATTGTTGAGGAGCCTGTAATATGTTCTGCAGTAGCCAGTCTGCAACAACCTACACAACTTGAAGAAGGTAGACATGCTGCAGCGTTGCAAGGAGGGGGGCTCATTTACAACTGTATCCCTCTTAAAAAACACAAATCAACATGCATGAATTATTCAATAGTAATTTTCGGCAACAAAATTATTTATGTTTCTGCCTTGCTTATGATTTAAAACTGACATTAATAATTAAATTAATAAATACTGATAATTGTAGTTATACAAATTCATTTAGAATTTTACCTTTTTGATTTAATTTTATGGCCAGCTTTTGGAGGCTCAGTTTTATTTCTGATAATAGCATGGTTTTACTGTTTATTTGTTAAAATGGATTTTCCCATTACCACCTGATCCCCCACTTCTTCTGTAATAATTACCACATGACAAGCATGTATATTGTCTTCACCACCAACACCAACACCTCCACCACCACACCATGTAATGCCCAGACACCGATTCATGTTTTCAACCCTCATTATACCACACCAACAGTTAATTCAACGTGTGGAGTGCTTTATTTTACAGGTGCTTAAAGAAAATAAAAATTCACTGTATGCCAAACCACTTGATAAATCACACAGCTCCAAATGTCACTCTTTTTCACAG